CCATTACTATTATTATATTTGGTATGAATATTTTTATCAAAAACATATTAATATAAATCCACGCATTATTTATACTTAAATAAAATCATTTTTTTATACTCTGAATTAATTTGAATGCAAATAATTGACAAAAACAACAGTTTTTCCCCTAAGTTTTGCCGTGGATTTTTGGAGGACCTGTGAGCGCATGCGCACAACTCCACCACGCGTCATAGCCATCTCCACCAATCAGTTATGTCCTCAGCTGGGTACGTGGAGGTGATTTAAGAGCTGCAGCTCAATAAATCTGTCCAAAGTTAACAAAGTTGATGTGAATGTGTTTCGCGTCGTTATGAAAATACTTGTGGATTAATCAAACGGACATGCGCACTGGCGTCCGACTGGATGGACGCAGCTGCTCGATATCGGATTTGTAGTGTTTTCATGATGAGGCGAACCGTAGATCTCTTAACAAGATTTTTCTTTATTTGTTTTGTTTTTAACCACAGCTATTATAACCCTCTGCAGCGTAAACAAACCTATATACGACGTTGTTGCACATATTTTTTTTCCACCAATGGACTCTGTTAGTAAAAGGAAATCTCAGATATTGCAGTGAGTGTGTGACAGATGAACTAGAATCACGTTTGCTTGTCATGATTTTGGTTTTGTGTTTGTCTGTTGGCTTTTGGCATGCGAACTGGCAGCATATGTTTTGAAACTGTCGTGCGGAACCACTAAAATGTTTATTTAATTGATAGGGAAATGGCTTCTTTGAAAGATTGTCCACAATGTCTAATTTGATTTATAACAAAGCCTCGCCTATAAGATTAAGCGTACTTTGTTTCTAGATACACATCAAATTAAAGTAATGCCATAATTGCTTTCATTTTTTGTGATTCCTTAGGCGCTGCAGATCAGTTTAAAACTACCCAGATCAACGCAGCAAAAGCATACTCTCAGTTAATTTCAAATTTAAAATGCAGAACATCTATTTTTTGTTTGTTTGATTGTTTTCTTCATTTGTCGCAAAACCACAGAGAAAATACTGTATGTCCATTTAAACGCGTTTGTGTTGTAATGTCAGTATAACAATAGAAATTGAGTTTAGGAGTTACCACTGTTCAACAGCAGGGGGCGCAGTGGATCACTAACAGCGGAGAGAGGCGGAAAATGAACCTTTTACATCGAAAGAAAGACACAGAAATGACAAGAGCATTAATTTAACCAGGTTATGTTGTTTATTCTAACTATTTATTAGAAATAAAAATAAAACAATGAAATGTGCTGTATTTTGGAGCCTTTATTTTGTCACTGCACTTGAATGAAGATGAGTTTTTTTAATTAATGCACTTTGAGTCTAACTGTAGGTGTGACAGGTACCTCTGAAAAATAAATTACCATGTAAGTCTGCACATTAGAAAATCTCTAACCCAGGTCAATAAAACCAGGGA